TCAGTATTTCCTGGGCAGCAGTTATATTATCTTTACACTTCAATTTTCTGTCTACACTTCCTGCTTCCTTCACTCAGTACACATTTCAAATGAGGCAAAGAAAACAACGTAATTCATCACACAACTGCAGGGTTTTCTCTGTACAATGAATAAAGCCAAAATCTCTCGGGGAAAAAGCAGTAATTAATGGTATTTTAACACACAGAGACAAAAAAGGGGAAATTAACTTTAAATAATTGAATTTGAAACCAGAAAGGTATTTTCACATAGGTTTCTGTATCTGACTACTGAAAGCTTAAAAAGGCAAATTCAAACGCCAGAAATTTCATCATGTGGAATTACAGTGGAATCAAGTGGCAGGGTCAGAACACTTAGGGCATGTCTTACCATCTTAGTCATAGAAATTGATTTTTAAATAACTCATCATTTTCAAAAATCTTTTAGAGCTTGTTACAGAAAATACATAAACATGCAGCTTAGCACCATAAAAGTGGCACAAGTCCATTAAAATTGATGGACTTACAATTGCCCACAGACCAGGCTCTGCGCATATAAAGCAGTGTTTTCAAAACACTGTGAATGCAGACTTTTTTTTTTTTAATTATTTCAACAAGCAAGTAAGTATTTTAAAGAAAGATATATTGGGTATACTAACAGTACAGAAAACTAGATTAATTTGCCTCAATGACTTCTGCAATTACGAGGAAAAAATCTGAAGACACGGAAGGAAAACTATGCCTGCCTGACTTCTTTAATTGGTATTCTGCTATGTATAATCATTCTATTGCTGTCTTGTTCTTCACACTTTTGTGGTATCGAGCAATCCCATGAACACTTTCAGGGAAAAAAAAAGAAACTCATGGTGACTTATTATCATGTGAATTAGCAAAACAGTTAATGTCTAACAGTGATGCAGACCAATTGTTCCATTTTTTATTTATTTAATACATATGAAGATATCGTAGTTTGTTTCATAATACAATCTCTTTCAGACAGTACATTAAAACCTATGGATATAAATTAGATCATAAATTGAGGGTTCTCCTTGTTTATGAGGTAACTACTGTACCCTGTGGAGGTTTTTATTAGACCTGTTACAGACACATGTGCTACAAATGCCAAATAAGAAGAGCTGAGTTTCACCAAAAAAAAAGTTCTCCATACAAGCGTCTAAATCAACAGATTAGAACACATATATGACTGCTGGCAGTCTTTGCATTAATTTTGTTACAGAAAGCAACACTGATCAAAGATTGTGTCTATGAAGAAACAGGGTGGTAAAATAAAACAGCAGCTGTAAGGTCATAAAAATCAAATCAAAATTAGCACTTTGTGCATGAATTGATTCCTCATAATATCATACTATAATTACCTACTCTTCTGTGGAGAATAATGAATGATATTTTAACTCTAAACTTGGCTTAAATCACACTATGCAATCACCTTCTTAAGGTAATGTGAGACATCTAGTAATGGCACAGTTAAACTATCAACTAACACAACAAAAAAAACACACCAAGGGTTCGTTAACTACTGTCCTACACCAACTGTGGCCAAAACTACCTGCAAGGAATGATGGTCATTACTGGAAGTCTTCTACCAGGTGTTTTTCTGTCTCCCTGCCTTTATTTCCCCTCTACAGCTTACATGTCCTCTTCCTTTTTCCTCCCCTTCATTTCTCATTCCCAATCACTTCTTTTTCCTAGTTTCTTTCTCTTTAGCCCTCTTCCTTCTTGGAAGGAAACTTAGTTTATATAACTGATGGATTGGAACCTAACCCCAAGGAAAAATGAAGAGTAGCTGCCGCAGGCAGATACCAATGAATGTAAGTAGAACGCAAGCACATAGCTACTTCCTGAGAAGGCTCCCCCAGCATGCAACCATTTGCAGCTCTGAAACTTCCTGAGCCAAAGGAAATTGAAGATCTTCACACTTTTGTGGGTATTTTCTGATGTATTTAATTTAGTTATTTACTGAACTTACTACCGCAACATCTGACAATACACATACACAGCTTAATTACACAGGGTCTGATGTTCTATATAGTAAGATTGTAATGGCAGTTTGATTTCTGGGGGCAAAAAAAAAAAAAGTATTTAATGAACTCTTTCTCCTAGAAGTATCTCATTTTTTTCTCACTGTGCTTTTGAGCATTTTCTTGGAAAAGTTTTGTATTAACTAATTTAGGCAGAGTGGCTTATACTTTGCATAGAGAAGTTCTCATCTGTTTTAAGTTTCATCATGCAAAATGCTTCTTTGTGACAAAAAAAAAAACAGCAGTTCACATCTCTGAAGGCCGTTACCTCATGACAGCATGGTGTCAGCTCCTCTTCATTTCAGTGAACCTTCATGCTAGAAGGTTATTTACTTTTTTTTTTCCTAAATAACCTGGAAATCTACAAAACCTTGTTCCAGTAGGACAGTCTACAAAATTTGTATTCAATATACACATAATACATTGTTGTGGTTTAAAACCAGTCAGGCAACTTGTTCACTCACTCCTCCCCTTCTTGCCCTCCCCGTACTCTGGGAGGGATGGAGAGCAGAATCGAAAAGAATGCAACTCCCACAGGTTGAGATAAGAACAGTTTAGTAACTAAGGTGTAACACAAACCGCTACTGCTACCACCAATGGTGGTAGCATTTCCTACAAAGGAAATAACAAGGGAAGAGAATACAACATCTCAGCACCCGCCGACCGGTAACTCGCCCCACCCCCCAACCCGACCAAGCACCGACCGATACCTCATCCAACCCTGCAGTCCCAGCCTTTCAAGGTAACTCTCCGTTACATCCCTGGCAAAGTGGTATGGAATACCTCTTTGGCTAGCTTGGGTCAGGTGTCCTGTCTCTGCTTCCTCCCGGCTTCCCTCCTCCCTGGCAGAGCATGAGCCTCACAAAGTCCTTGGTCAGACTAAAACATCAGTGTTATCAGCTCTGTTCCCAGGCTGAAAGTCAAAACACAACGCTGCACCAGCTACCAAGAAGGACCAAAACTGACTGCTACTGCTAAACCTAGGACATACATACATCAGACGTCTGCAGTCTGGTCCATACACTGGTAACTTCATCCTGCAGTTCTTGTAATTCGTTTCATTTCTGTGCAGTGTAGACGGAAGTGTCATTTGATCTATAAATAAAAAATAAAAATTAAAAAAAAACAAGAAATATATTAGTAAATGAAGTGAACAGAGATAGAGGTTATAGATATGAGCATTATGATTTACTGAAAAAAAAAAAACAACACTTTCTCTGGAAATTATGACACAGCAAAGTCAGCAAACCACTGTTTGTCACTTTTTTTTTGTTTTCCCCTAAGAAGCAATATTGATTTTTTCTAAAGGAGCAGTAGTAGTGGTAGTAAAGAAGCATGTAGTTCTATTTTTTTTTTTAGATCTATTTCAGAAGTCAAAGTCATAATTCTCATCTTTGGAAAGGTAGAGGAACATGACCCTTTCTACGGCCCAAGAAAATTATACCCTTTAAAGCAGATACCGGATTGAAAGAAACACATCCTTCCTTCCCAAACACATTCTCTCCTACTACCAAGGATACTATGTGATAGAGCTAAAGATAATAGCCTTTACATTAAATAATGCTTTCCTTTTTCAGGTTCATGTGGTTGGCTTTTTTTTTTTTTTGGTCTCTGAGTGAGGAATGGAATCTGTCATTTGGCTTACCTTCACTGGATTTTCTTTGACTGTGGAACAACTAATGAGTTTCAAACATTTATATTTAGGCCATAGTACTAGAAACAGCTGTTCCCAGAAAGGCTCCTGGTTCCAAACAAAAATCCTCCAAGTGACAAAGGGCTCACTGGGGACTGTCAATCTATTAAAACCCAGTCTCACTCCTAAATGACTAACTCGGCTGACATACCCATGCTATTTGTTTTTACTTTTGCAGAAACTTTGTAGTTTCTGGATAGATTTAAACAAACAAACCCCCAAACACTTAAAATGTGATCCTAAAGCTTTCAAGAGAAACCAAGTGAACAAAACCTAGTATCTATATAAATAAAAATAAAAAAATCACAAACCATTTCTTAAGACTTGAAGCAATTTTCATGGACTAAGTGCCATAAAACTCTAAGCTCCACTAGCTGTACACAGTTCATGAATGAGATTAAACTGAAATTAAAGGGAATATTTGTATTTCTCAGAAAAACACATGGTTAATTTTCTTTATAGCCTCTAGTTCTTGTATGTTGCTTATAAAGCAGCATACCCATGTAAAAACATGGAACAGAAACTAAGGCTTGCAGCATACTTACTGATACTTTTAACAGTATTTAATAATATCATTTGCTATCAACTTTGAAGTGAATCCAAACATAAAATTGTACTTTTTTTTTTTTAAACTGCACTGGAGCCACTCCTGGGTACATGTGCAAGGCTACAGACCGCTCGGGCCATGCCGGGATCTGCAGCCCCAACCCCACTATTTCACCAGTTGTTTGCTCTTTAAACCGGGGAAACAAACAAACAAAAAAAAACAACAACAACAAAAAAGTCATTTCCAACTGACTTCTGGAAACGGCCTTGAAAATTATACTCTAAAACTGTAACACGGCGAGGCTTACATCCCCTACTCCGGGCAGCCGCAGCGTGTGCCCACCGCCCACGGCAGCCCGGACCAGCAATGCCCTGTGCCTTCCCGGCGCCTTCCGCCTTCGCAGCGTCAACCTAAGGAACGGCTCGTAGTGCGCAAAGACGCTCATGACACCGGCCATGAGGCACCAGGATCCTCCTCCGCCACAGGCGAGGCAACCCCCGCGTTTCGCACAGAGACCACCTATCCCTGCCCCAAAGAAACACCATTTCCGCGGACGGCGATACCACCTTCCCCGCTCCCGCCTGAGCGGCTGCGCAGACGCGAACAGCGCGGGATGGCGGCTTTCCCCGCCCCCCCTCCGGCCGAGCCGCGGGGCGGAGCTCCGGGAAACAGCGGCTGCCGCTGCCTCCGGGTGCTTCGGCACCGGGCTTGTAGCAAAGGCCTCCCTGGGGTAACCGTGACCCCTCACCCTTTTGTCGCTGGCCGTCTGCTTCGCGGTGCCGGCGGCTGCAGCGGTGCAGTTCGTTCCGTTCGTTCCTCCCGGCGCCCTGAGGGTGGGCGGCGCGAAGCATGAAGCTGACCAAAGCTCAGTACGATGAAATAGCGCAGTTCCTGGGGCACGTGCAGCCCACCCGGCAGAGCCTGAGGAAGCTGAAGGAGAAGTTCCCTAGGTAAGTGCTTCCTGCTCTCCGGGGCCGCTGCCCAGCGCGGGGCGGGCGGCTCGGGCTCCGGGTCCCGGCCTGAGAGCTCGCTGCGGGCAGGCAAGGGTCCGCAGGGGTAGCTCCGCCAGCTCCAGCAGGTGCCCCCAGTTCCAGGCCCCACACGGTACAAAATCACTTGGACACGCACACGGTCATCGACGGCAAGCTGCAGCTCACTGTAACTGCTGCTGGGAGGACGGTCCTTATCACCTGTGGCCTGCGAAGCTGGAACAAAATAAAGAACGTTTTCCCATCTTCTGCCACATGTCCAAATAAAAGCTCTCAGATCCCTTCATAAGGCATTATGGACACCAAGTAGATCTTACATCAGCGAAGCCTTAAAGTTTAGGCCATTCTTCTATGGCTGAGACAAGGTTGTAATCCAGCCTGTCATACCATTGCCCCGTGTCTTGGGAAGAGGGGCTTTCCAGACCCATAATTCTTTACATGGTGCTCCTCTCTAGTTGAAATGTGGAAAAGAGGTCATCTTGTATGTGAGCATTCATCCACTTCCTCTCTAGAGCTGCGTTCAGAATTGTCAAAGACATTTGCAAATGACCATAGGCTACTATCAGAAGATGTGCATGACAGAATGTGTTCTCTGCACTGATCTTCATTGCCAGAATTTGCTTACTACCAACCGCAGCAGAGTTAGAGAGGACATGTTATAAGGTTGTCTTTGTTCAGATTTGTTCAGATTCTCTTTGGTCAGATTTGGGTGAGAAACCAGATTGGGTTCTATGGAGAAAGGAGTGGTGCTGTCTTTAAAATAACAGAAATAAGAAAAGTATTTTTTAAAGGGTGGTGCTTACTTTGGAGAGAGAGAGAAAATAAGTAAACCAGAAATTCTTTCCCATGATTCCTGAGTGAGCATTACTATTCTTACCACAGGTGTGGCTGAGGAAACTGAAGCCATGTGTAACTTGCAGTAAGTGGATGAAAAGCCATTGTGAACTTAGGCTTTTAAATTGTCCAGTGAAATCTCCTTCTTTTCAGGACAGTCTGTAATGTAGTTAAAGATCAAGCTGTTCTAGAGAAGAAATGATGGTAAAGCAATGTAGTTGGGTCAGTGGGTTCATGGAGTCCAGTACTTCTACAACTTGGAAGAACACTTGCTGTGACAGCATATGTCTAAGGAGCTTAGATTTGGCTTTATCACTTTAGTGCTAATGAAATGAGAATTTGTGTATATGTATGTGTGAGTGTGTGCATGCACACACATGTGCTTAGTCTCTTTTTCTAGTCTCCTTATAAAGCTGTCTTGAAAGATTAGAATTTGGGTTCATTTGCCAGGTCAGTTACTGTGTGTAGAAACCTGCTTCCAAGATATACAGAGATATGTGAGTGTCTGTAATAGGGAAAATAAGTCTGTCAGAAAAAGACCAGGCCTTGCCACTGATACATTTTACCTCCTAGTCCATTCCTTTGATGCTGCAACAGATCCATTGACTCTTAGGCTTCAGAACTTGATGACTCCTGTGTGCTGTCTGAAGTGCAAAAGAGGAGGCTTTTTCCATTGTGTGTTCTGTAACTGTGGAGCAAGTTTCTTTTAATCTGGAGCCTGTGTCATTCAGTTCTAGCATGAGAAGGATCTGATTGGACTTTTGGCTGCTTTTTTTCTTTATGAAAACCAAAATCAAGCCAAACCCTCATCCCACCCACCCCAATTTCTGATTCAATCTTTTTAAGAAAATATTTCAGAATCTGTCGTGGCACTTGCAAGGTGATGAAGGTGTCCATAACCGGTTTATCATTATTATATGGAAATGGTTGCTGATTCAAACTGGAAAGCACTAACATCTGTAATAGCTGCTTTCCACCTTGCACTTTCAATCTTTCCCTGGGAAGGATCAGTATTCCACTGGTAATGCAATACATAAATTCACAGTTTTCAAGTATTTCTGGTTCCTACTGCCTCATAGATCTTGACAGTCTTTAGATTTCTGCATTAATCTGCTCAGTTTTTTTTCTAATACTGTTTTACCTATTGGTTCCTTCCTTGGTCTGTTGTGTTTCTTGGAAGAGTCACAGCTTATGCTCTTTATTTGTATTAAGTATCCTTCACATTTTGTTATGGGCCTGCTCTTGCTCTGCAGTTTCTCCCTAAGAGTAATTTGTAATTTCTTTGAAACAATTGCCACAATTTAGTGTATATAGGTATGCTGTACGGTGACTGCCAACATGACCTGTGAATCTAAATAATTTTTAACAGGGTAGTTTGTTCTTTACTATATTATCAAACTATTTCAGGAGGTGAGGTTATTGCTTCAAAAGGTTATTGCCATATGACTTACTAATGTCAAGTAGTCAAAATCAGGCTGCTTTTAATACTGTTTTCAAAGTATCTTTATACAAGCATTGAGACTTTTTTTTTTTTCACAATTCTGTAACATTGCAGACAACATGGTTTAGTCTGCTTTGCTTAAAACAGAGTTATTTTGCAAAAATGCAAATTCAGGAATCAAATCACTGGTTTGGTGGTGTTGGTATTTTTTTTCCATTGATACTGCACTTTGTATTCCATGTGTGGCAGTTACCAGTGTATTTATTCTTAAGGTGTTTGTTACATGCTTAGCAGTTGTCTTCTGATGTGTTCATGTTTAACAGTAGGATTTTTGGATGACCTGAGGATTATCTAAATGTAATTTTGAGCACTAAGCACGATAGATCAGTGCCAGTATTGGATGATTAATGTATAGTTCCTTTGAGCTTCTTAACGTGTTTTCTACTGGCCTGATATTGTGTTGTGCTCTTCTAAAGTGTACCACGTTTCTGCTTTGTTTCTCACCAGAATTTATCTACTTGTTAATAATTTGTGTTTATCCTTGTAATTTCTGTCTTCTGCTTTCTTTAGCCATGTGCTTATGTTCTTCTGTGATACTATTCTTCTCAATGAGACCTAGTGTCTAAATTGGATTACCCATTGTAGAAAGTGTAGGGTAATGCAGGAAATGCTGCAAGAAAGTTACAATCTCTTAATTTTCAGTGCTTTTCTACTAGTCCAATTTCCCTTCCAGTACCCTCACTTTCATTCCTGTGAAAGAATCTTTTTTTTTTTTTTTTTGAGCCTTTCTCAGTGCAACGTGTGTTTTTTAGAGAGTTTCAAAGTACTAGGATTTTAAAGTATTAGAATTTATAGCAGCTGCTCTGTGCAGGTTCATGGATATACTGCCCAATTTTGTTCCTTCTGTGAAAGCTTCCTTCCTAGTGAGCAGGAAGAGCTTTTTTAACAGCAGAAAGGCAAGGGAAGATAGCGTAACTGTGAGAGAATAACTTTTTTTTATTATTATTTCCTTCTTCCTTTTTTCTTTTCCCAGTACTCAAGAGAAAAACAATTCATATTGATATACTTGATATTTGAGAATGGGTATTTGGTTTTAACATCTGGAACTTCATGTTAGATTAGTGGAATGTGCAGTCTTTGTTCCCAGAGCATATTAGGTGATGCATGTTCCTCTACATTCATGACCTGTCTTCTTCACTACTTCATATCACTGAGGTTATCTAGCAGTACTGATAAGCCTAAAGTGGTTGCAGTGGGAAACTTCTTTTTATTTCTTTCCAGTTCTGTATTCTGGCACCTGCTCCTAATGTAGCCTGGAGATTGAGTCAAGGTGGAAGGAGAATTCTCTGTCCTCTGCTCTAGTGCTCCTTAGAGCTGCTGTACCCAGAAAGGAGGACTGTCAGTGAAGCTCAAGAGCAGAGGGCAGCTGGCTGTCTATGCGGCTTTCAGAGCTCTAAGCTCAGGACCTAAGCATAGGTGTATTAGGTAAATCTTACCTATAAGCGGGCAACCTGCTGGTGTGTGACACATTAGTTGTGCGCTGTGCTGCATGGAAAGGCTCTTATCATAGCAAAACTGACATAATTTTTCTAACTTCTGCTCTCCCTGCTCTTCTGAATAATTGGTTAATTCTTCTGGAAAACAGAGGAGGTAGCCTGTTTTTTCTTTACTCTGCAAACACTGATACAGTAAATCTCATTTAGCAAGTTTTGTGTCTGTGCATGCTAGAAACATTTCTTTTACAAAGAAACACAGTATAAATGCACATTTCAAGTTCCCTCTAATTTTCTATATGTTCTCACTACTTAGCAATGGAATAGATTCATGCTCTGGCTATATAAACCACCTCATTGATTTTGGTAGGCCAGCTCATGAGAGAAAAGAAAGTGGACATTACTTAGGAGATGCAGAGATTTGGAGGGAGATGCTTAATGGCCACTGGTGGCTTTCCACTCTATTTTGAAGTGGCAAATACTCTGAATTTGTGTTCTATGTTTAAATATTGTGGGACATATAGCTTGAGCAATTATGAGAATGGTAGATTTTTAAAGGTTTGTATTTAATTTTTCTTTTATGTTAGACTTTAAACAAAGTTTTACACTACTGTATGTTTTTGTCTATTATATGTAGCAAAAGCCTAGTATTATTTAAAATTTGTTATGTACTTAAAGCTGCATTTAACCTCACAGGTAAACAGATTGATAATAGGTGAGAAAGAAGGCTTGGCTCATTATTTAAAAAATAAAAGTTTTCAGAAATTCACTACAATAAAATGTAGCATATTCAAAATCACCTTAAAATGAAATAAAAATTCACTATACAAAGTAGTTATATAAGCTGTGAACTGATATTGTTCCCTTTGGAAAGATGTTCTTGCAGTTTGAACCTTTGCTAGGAAATCTGCAGTATTACAGCTTTGATAAGATAAACCAGAGGGTGGTAGAGGTTTTCTCTTTTCACTTAAAAGCCAGTGAACAAGCCTGAATGAACTTGTAACTGGTGGGATTTGGTATGTCTTGTTAAAAAACTGTTTGCTTATGCTGTGACTCTAAATAGGAAGGGTACTAATCCTCTCCTGTAATACAAGGTATTGTGTGACAGAAATTAACTAAATCAGTATATAACTCAGGAGAACTTTGTCTCCTCCATTATTCATTAGGTTAAACATAAGTTACTGATTTAAAAG